ATTAGCAGCGTCTGAAACCAGGGATCGTGAGGATCACATCGTCAATATCATGGGTAACGACTTAGACCGAAGCACCCAGACATTTCGTAATCTCTTTCATACTTCATCATCCAGGTAAGGTTCGAAACACAGAACTTCCGGCCAGTAAATTGCACTTTAATCACTCAGCCTTGTTACGGACTCCCCACACTAGCTATGGCCTTAAGAAAACAGTTGTCAAAAACATCTCATTTTGCCGTTCAAACAGGTCGTCTCACAGCCACACAAGAAAACAGCCCGTACTGTAGCCTGACAAACGTCCCTTGAGATTCGGGGATATGCCGCTCTGGCGCCATAGTTATCACAAAGCAAAGCTGACAATGATGACGACGATGTCCCAAATCAGTAAACGCAAACCGAGCCCAAGAGGTTTGCGCACTGACCTCACTGGTCCCACTACAATCGGAACTAAAAAAACTTCCAGGATACATAAAACGCTCTACAGCTCCCCTTGGGTTGTAATTGGCGTGTTCAGGGGCTGCGTATCCAAAGGCGTGACCTTAGATTTCTTGGGTGCAGAGCGCATGCCACAGGATGAGATGACTTGGGTCATCTTACCAAAAAAACACCTACACCTTTTTCTCTTCGAAAACGAAAGCGATATTGTCTGCATATTCATAATTGACCAGGTTTTTGTAAGAAGCCATCTGAATACCAGGGTCATGAATATCTTCCAGCGTTCGCCTCGTTATTTCATCAGTCACGAAAGTAAATAGGAATGGAGAGAGCTGGTACCTCTGTTGGACATTGCTTCGTGTACGAAAGCCTGTAAACCCTCACGTGCCTGGAAGTCTGAGAACAAAAAGAAATTGTATGTTCACAAATTTGCAGGCAACCACTGAATGACAAGTGTATGAAGTCAACCAAGTTAAGTGCGCCTTGGAAATCCAAAAGCACTAAAATTGTGGGTCATGCATACTTATGACCTTGTTCCAGCACATGACAGAGCGCGAAAACTTGGTCGGTACAACATGTACCAAGTCGAAAACCCGCCTCCTGCTCTAGAGCCACCATGAGGTGACAGAGAAGTGACGCTAAGAATCTCGCACGACCATGGTGAAGCTGATCCCCTTGTGACCACCTCACTCAATAAGGGTCTCTTCATTCAAAAGAAAGATCCAAGAAGGGCGAAATCTGTCGTGGGTTGTCGAAGAATTTTCAGCAAGCTTATGAGTAGTGTATCAAGATCCTGCCCACTTATCTAGGACAGTCTCCTATTCCGAAATCTAGGCGAACAGACCAGACAAGCACCGATTGAGGACTTATAACTCAACTTTAAATGCAGGTGAGAGGTCGTCTTGGCCGGGAGGTCGATGGCAGTTGAGAGAAAACATATTCAGTCATAAACCTCCGAAGGCGTCGGACGTTCCAGGTTCATTGCTCAGGGTTCTACTTCAGCTGTAGGACCCGGATGAGTGGTAGCGGGTGGCCATGAGGATTGTTGTTCAAATTGTCGACCCAGTGATTGAGGTGTTGTTTACTCAAAATGGTCGCACCAATTTGATCCAGAATGATTTCGCTCACAAGCATTCTCCGGGGGCCGGTAGGGTATTCCAGGGTTTTCGAGCTTCTTCCTTTTTCTTAGCCTTGCATGTCCACCAGGCTGCGTGGCCGGCGGTACACTCGTTTTCACTTGACGTCTGATACGTGGTCGGGTCACATTAACTTCGGGATGAGTGAGGAAATTCGCCTGAGATTCGAGCATTACCATTGTTGTCTGATATCCAGTAATTGGGCGGGTCTGGTAACGCCGCGCCATAGACGAACCTCTCAGCAATGTGCAAAAATGTGTTGATTGCGTTCCAGCGTAAGTTCGCGTGGTGGTGAGCCGGTTGGAAGACCCTAAAAGACAGTTCTGATAAATTCGTCTAGAGTCCGGATATGTAAGTCTCTCAGTTGTTAAACGATTTTCAACACCTTACGCGGTCCTAGAAAACGATTGAGAAAGCAATTTGGGACGAGCGCGTGGTCGAAAGTCACATGTGTGTGGTCACTGGCGACAGTCAGTAGTGACACTGCTTGAACATCGGACATAATCTTGTCCGACGAATAATCAAGCATCAAGTTAGACTAAGTGCATGCACCAACCATGAAACCTGGTGGACACAAAAGGCTAGGGAAATGAGAGAGTAAGAAATATGGGAGTTCTCTGTAATAATCTTTCCCCGGAAACCACCTTTGAACGGAACAATTAAGAATCAAAGCGGAGCCACTAGCTTCAATGAAGAAAAACAGCTCAAGCGCTGGGCCGAGCGCTTTGAACAACAACACTTGTGGCTATCTGCTAGAACCCGTTTGGATGTTGGAAATGCAGTAGAATCTGTACGGTGAACCGGGAACACTCCACGGCCTCGCAGATTAAAAATGCATGTATTCTCTCAAGCGCCAACGAGCTGCTGAATCAGACAACATCATACCACGTTCGCGGATAGGGGTACAGTCCTCGTCAGCGATTGTCCGATCTGTTCGTTCGTATCGATGAAAATGAGATTGCCCCAGAAAGCTCGCGGGAAAAATCAATATTGCCCATTTTCAGAAAATGGCCGTTGTGAATACTGTAATTAAAGGCGGGTCAGTTTGACTCCAGTCGCAGCGAGACACTTGCCCTCCGTCGCCTAAGGATGTCAAGCGGAACACTGATTCGAGATCAGGAAGCCGGACTCTAGCAGTCAAATCTTCACAATCCGTCAGAAGCTAGAAAAACGGCGCACGTAAAAACTGACCGTAAGTTTTACTGTTTCTAGGTTCTAAAGACGAAACTGATTTATTTGACCGGTATGTTTTCCTGGGTTTATTTGCTTGGCAAGGAATGTCTGAATGTTTGTGAACACTTCCTCTGTATTCACAGATTTTCTGGCATTTGAGGATGTACGGAGAACCCTGAAAAAGCTCCCATACACAGAGCGGTGTCTGACAAGATGTTCTGTTAGGGATGCTCATTGTCTCCAATTGTTTCAATTTTGCGAAGAAATAAGTATTGAGGCAAACGATGGGAGGTTTTTCAAGCCTTGAAGTTCAAAAGTGCGAAAACAAAACCCTGTTGATCTGGAATATGCAGACTACAACTCTCTCGTCACTGAAGGAGTGGCCCAAAGGCATCCAATCCTGTGAAATGCACTTCTCACCCACTCTTAGGTAGGTCAGATTCCTGAAAAATGCCTACTGAGACACACAAAACCGCACACCTCAAAATCGCAGTAGGGAAGCGTTCAAGAATCAAGGCCAGAAAAGCGAGTTTAAGAAACAGTCGACGATTGTGGGAGTTCCGGCATGCAACGAAGACATGGTCAACAATGGTGAGTGGTCAGGTTTTTCATGGAAGCACGGTTGTTGATGGTATGTGTACAGCAAACGCCGATCAGACAACCTGGATCAATGTCAAAAGTGTCCTTTAAATAGCTCCACGCGCCTTGTGACTCGAACTTGCTGGCTTGCAATAAATCTGTTGTTCTCTTTGTTGGCGAGTCTTTCACTACACTTAAGCTCTGTGGCAGTTAGAACACCCTCAAAATGCATGGTTATGCTTCCGAACATGTAGTCACTGATCACGGTGCTTAAAATGCAATGAGACTCTCGAATTTGTGAAACATTTTGCGCTGCTTGAGAGTCGTATAAGCTCAAAACGTTTGCTTACTTGGGGCACTTACTTCATCAAAATGGCATACGTGTGTATCAAAATACCTGTTTATCAGGTAACGGTACGGTTTGTTTTTTGTATAGCCTCGTGCAGCTCAACTAAGACTTCAGCAACCGTTGTCTCAGAACCACAGTTGCCGTGGGATGACGCCGGTTAATTTGCAACTAGACAGTTAGAAAGCGCGTGTTCACACGTACGACGGGTTTCAAAGAACGCGGACAACGCCAATAGTTGCGTTGTGTACCATGTATTGGGCACAGCGAACGATTGTTTCGCCGAAGTCTTTTTTTCCATGCCCAGTCCAGAGTGGTTGAAGCGTACAGACGGCCAACCATTGATTTGGCAGAGGGTTATGAAAGAGATTATGAAATGTCTCAGTGCTGTCAGCGTAACCCGCCTTTCAGGACGGAGGCCGCGTGATCCCCCGTGTGCGTGGCTGTAGATATCAGCAGTAATCAAAGTTAATGGCGTTCTTGTTATCAGTTTCTATCCAGATTGCCTGAACGAGTGTGTGGAGGTATGTTCGCCTCAAAACGATTGTGAAAGACCAGACCTTAATTCCCCATCTATTTTTATTCTTATCTTTTTAATATGGCTTTCAACTTCTAGTTGTACGGCAGCGAAGCATCAGTAGTGGTTACCACTATTAGGCGCCATACGACGACGACAGCCTAAGCCATATACGATACTGTCTTCTGCTTGCAGAGAATTCTAAGGGGCTCATATAATCAGCCCACAGAAGCCGAATGAAAGAAGCGGTACAGTCCTGAGTAGCACTGAAAGCAAGAATCTGAATACGGGATGGTGCTGGGACTGATGTCGCATAGTTGTGCACTGTGTCTCAACGCATGGACATCGCAAGTTCACATCTCCACGCCCAGAAAACAATGAACAGAATTGGAAAGATGGCACCGGTGTTCTACTGCCAATATCATACTGCCTGAACGCTTTATTATAAATGCACAGGTCGCTGACCTTTACACCAGGTATATCCAACAGTGGCAGATTGCACAAAATAATCTCATGAAGTTCGTGTAATCGTGCTCATTAAAAATAGCAGATTAAACAGAGGATGGCTGGGCACTCGGGGTAGAACGAAACCATCGCCTTAGAGCCTGAGGGGAAGTTTATCGTAAGATGCCATGAACATTTCCCAAATAATCACAAGACTGCCTGAGAACCAGTCGCCTCAATAAGAGATATTTTTCGCTGTTGCGCGCTGAACAATAGTTTGACCTTCCTTTCGCAGCACCGTCAAGAGTGTTTGGGAGCTCTCTAATATCTAAAATGTGGTAAGTCTATAAGGGACGAAATGACAACGTACTTTCATGTAGGCTGTTTCCGATTCGGCAATAGTGCGGTCATATTCACTTCGCGTTGCAAGTTTTTTCTGGAGAGACTCATTGACGTTCGTGAGTCTGTCGTTTAGAACGTTGATTTCACGCTGCAGTCGGGCCCGCTCAGTTTCATCCTGCTGGATTTGCCGCTGAAGTTCTTCGCGCCTCTTACACAGATCTTCGAAACCTTTTAAATTAATGTATTTCGACCATAATACTTACATTTAACTAATTCGTTGTTGTAGTTTTGCAACGCGGCACCCTGATGAGACATCGAAAGTCGTGTTTATTGCTGATTATCATGACAACAAAGTCAGATGATTCAATAAAACACGTCTACAGGAGTGCGCCTAAGGGCCAGCAGTAGTGACCATTCATGGTGTCCAGTTTAGTGAATATATACAGAGACAAATCCGTCGAATTGATAAAACGCACTAGACTAGTCCCGAATGCGCGCATGTTTGAATCATTTCCCATATGCAAGTCTCGTGCCCCATTATCCGCACGATATCTCAGCTGCAAAACGTTCACCAACGGAACAAAACTTTCCACGCTGAAACATTGCATTTTTGCATGTGTAGTCGAACTAAAAAACTTTCTAATCTACTCTGATATGTTTGCAGCTCACCAAATTTTATTGTTCACTGAGGCAACCATGCTTCTGGCTGAAAAGTATGTGAGATAATTCCCAAGCATCACTGAGGCCCCAGGATGCGTAAATGGGGTTGAGGGATTTGGAATGGTACTCTCAACTCATTTGCTTGATTGCTTTGGTCCATCAGGGAAACGCCGTAGCTTTCGAAAATCCATTGTGCGAAGCCAGCGGCTAGACGCACAATGTATTTTTCTGCAAAACCCCTGCGGGCGAAATAAAAACTTTAACGTCAAAATGTTGCACTTCTTTGCATATATGCGTAGACTAAAAACCCCTCTCATCTGCCGTCACTTTTTTGCGATTTGTTTTAATCGATATCATTTGAAAATTATTAGCGCACATTCGGCTTTGAACTTCGTCTGCGATGGCTTCGGAAGTGGCTTTCGTTGAGATATTTGTGGGTATATCGTTTCCATCCTTCATGGCATTTGAGACGACCTTAAATGAATACATGAAGGATAACTTTGTGGTATTTCTGTGTTCATCCAGTAATCAAAGCACCAACGCTATTTTGCGTTACGAATGGGTGCACTACCAATGCACCAGGCGCCCTCCAAGCAAGAAGCCAGTAAGCTGAGCGGGTTTTCTAATAACAAAAGTACGCAAAGCACCAGCTCTGTAGTAAGGTTTTGTCTACGGAGGCAAAGGAACCAACTGGCAGTGACCTCTTATTTTCCTGGACACAACCACAAACTGTCAAGGTTTCTGTACAATCGGCTTCCAGTCGATCGACGCCTAACCGAAGACGAGTTGGGCACATGCAAAGCCCTGCTGAAA